GACCTGATTTCCTTCTTTTCCGTCTAATGTTACAATATTATTTTAGCCAAATTTTATTTTATAATTAATATCACATTAAATAATAATACAATATTATTAATACTTAGTTCTATTTGATACAATTGATTTTATCATTTCCATTAGTTAATAAATGATATAAAAAATAATAATAAAAGTTCAACAGTAAGTACTCCATAAATTCTTAAAATAAAAATAACAGAGTACCTATTTTTATTTAAGACATTAATGAATAAATAATTTTAAATATTATAATATATGGACCCCAGACTTAACCATATCTGCATCAAAATTTATCTATTACAAATCATTAAAATTTTTTAACCAACCGTGCTATATTTATTATTTTTATTTCAATATTACATATAGATTCCCTACCAATTACGATAGTTTTATATTTTTATTTATTAATTATTTTGTTTTTGTCCTTTATGGATGAATGATATTCCCTAGATTTCATCTTGCTTTGTGGTTACAACCTAGTAATCTGGTCTTCAGATTTTGTTTCAGTACTGATATCCGATCGAAACCAAATTAAATATTTTGTTTATTTATAAAGTTTTTAGTATTAAATAATACTTAGCATTATCTTCAGGAATATGAGAATTATGATGAATAATAGAATCATAATTTTATATTTAAAATTTTGAAAGTAGGAATAATGCATATAAGGATAATGTTTGAAATTATTATTTATTTTAAATGTAATTAACTTTAGTCTATTGGATGATAAAAATTAATTACAAATGATCTTTCTTTTTCTTCTATTTAATTAATACAATTAATAGTAAAGATTCAATATATTTCCAGGCAGTATTTTTTAAAGATATTGTTATTTATAATTAATAACTGAATTTAAAAAAAAAACTATATTATGAACGAGATAGAATGTAATATCTTAAGTACATATATTTATTAAAGAAACATTTTTTTAATACTATATTAAATGTAAAAAAAAAAATAGAATTATTTTCAAAATTTTAACCACTCTAGTACACAAATTCTTTAAAAAAGCCTTCCATATTATCTTAATTAGTTTATCCTATTTATTTTTATAAACCGGAGTATTATTATATATCCATTCATTACTGATATAATTTTTAAATTCATCTAATATTGTGTTTTATGTAGAGAACATATAAATGTATATGTATTTTTTAATATATGATAGACCGGATTTGTTACAAACGTTTATAACTCAGCTGAATCTAGTTGGTGACAACCACAACAAACACAAACAAAACTACATAACAGACATAGCACCCTTATACACAATAGGTACCAACTGTCCCAATGTAAATATTTAGCAGACAAATAGACTGAATAAAGACCTAGCTAAACGATTGGCAGTGAAATAGCAATTTTCTGCCCTTAGCAAACCCTAGTAGGGCGGTAATATACCTGGCCCTTCGGTTAAATAGGTCTATCATTATACGTTTCCTAAAAGGGCCACTGTTTCAGGCGCGCGAATCCAACCCCCGATGCTCCAATTTTTTTTTTTTTTTTTTTTAAAAACGCTTCCCGCAACCCAAAGGTGATTTATGTAGCTATGTCCATGGACAGGCGGTAATCTTTTAGAGAGAGCAAATGTTCTTAGCCGTCCTAGAGGCTCCAAAAAGGAAAAATTACTGTTATTATATACAACTGTTGAGGATTTCTCAATAAGAGCATGTGTCCCTCGGTAAGTAGATTGCCGAATTGGAGGAAATTGTATTAGGAAAATTACAATGTTTTAAAGGAATAAACACACCTTTTGGAATCGTTTGGGAAGTAATGCTGAAATATTTAAGTGTAATTGTATGTATGGTCCGGTAATAAATATTTTTACTTCTTACCTATAGCTTTATCATTTTGCAAACTTATTGTTTCTAGAAAATTTAATAATAAAGATATGTAATAAACAACAAATAAAAATAAAAATACTCAATTCTTCTCATATAATTGCCAGCAATTTGTATATATAAATTAATTTTAGTATAGAAATTATTTCTTTTGTAATTTTGAAATTTTATCTCACACAGAAAATTAAAAAAAAAATTATCTAAAATATCTGTAATCATGCAATAATCATTATGTTAAGTTTTTAAGCAAACTTTCAATGATAGCAAAATATCTTCATTATTTGTTTATTTGAAATGGTAACTAAAAATATACATTCCTTAATTTATTTTAAAGTATTATAAAAAAAAAAATTAATATTTTTTCTACTCAGTGAAAAGTAATATCATGATTTCAGGTTTCAGATTATTTATGTAATATTTGCCTTTAATACAATTATCATTTCAAACAAATTTAATTATTGAATAAAAATACGAAGAATATTATTTATAAATAATTCTTTATGAAGAAGTTAATTAAGCTATACATAATGTTTTTGTTCAATTAATTTAATTGATTTTGTTTATTATTTTTTTAATTTTTAATATTCACTTGAACTTTTAATTATTGTTTTTATATACAAATATAACAGACAATATTTGCTAAAAAATTTAACTATGAATTAAAACTGTTGTAAAATAAACTAGCCAATACAAAAAATGAAAGTGTCTGACGGGATGAAACTTTTAGCGCCTACAATCATATTGTTATGGCTTGGCTTAATGAATAGATAAACTAATATCTTTAATGTGTTATCATCTGTTCCATAACATATTATAAATTTAATATGATGAAAAAATTCATATTGTATAAATGGTGAAAAAAAAAATCAAAATATTTATGTTGAAAATGTTACTTTTTTCTCTCAATTGTTACATCTAGGTAATTCATACGTTGTTTATTTAATTATAAAAATGAAAATTATAAATTATTTATAAATTAACAATAATAAAATAAATTATAATTTTAATACATATAACATATTTTTTAAAATGAAAACATAAGTTATAGTGGTAACCTAATATCGTATGATTATATAATTGAATACTGTTTAGATAATTAGATATATATGGAATCATGACTTTAAATTTAACAAAACAACAGGAAAGTTGTATAATTATTTAAGATGCATATGAGAGCAAACATATTATGCGATTCATTATCAATTGAAAATAAAAATAAAATTATGATTATTGTTCTTGATAGCATTGTATAAATAAAGAAATCATCTTCTGTCACATAAAATAAATTCTACTTCTAATTTTTAGCAATGAAATGTCTAACTCAATTACTCAATTACATGGAAAATAGTACTTAATAAGATTAATTAAAAGGTAAAGTTCATAATGTTTTTATTAATTTTTTAATGTTTCTTTTAAAAATTATTTAGGATGTACAAAACCAGTCAGTTAAGTGTTGATTGTAATATATCATGAATAATTTGTTAAAATTCTAATAAAGGGTTAAAGATTTTTACACAGTTTTTTTTTAATCATTACTGATTTTAAATATTGTATTATTAAATATTGAAACGGAATAATGCCTTCATAACTATGGAGCTAAAGATTTTATTTTAAAATCAAGAATTTTTTGTCCAAAATGAATTCAAGACCATTTAAGGAAGTTATAGTATTATTTTATTTTATTTTCCAAAACGATTAGAGCATAATTTAGTAGCAAACTGCGCAAATTATTTTCTACAATATCATGAATAAAATATCTTCGATCTAAAATCAGCCGAAAATTATATGTAAACAAACAGAGGGTTCGTGAATGAAATTTATATGTTTTTATTTTGATAAAAATTATTTCTAAATTGCATTTTATAGATATTAAATAATTTATTAATACTTTTTAATGAATGAAATAAATTAAAATTTGATTAACTCAAGTAAAGTCAGCATTGTGATAATTCTTTTAAATTGAAAGATGTTCAAATGGTAAATGGTATTATTATTATTTGCTTATGTATGTTATTTATTGATATTTTTACATATTATCCTCATCCTCTTATAGCTTTATCAACACAGTTTCAATAAAAAACCTTCAATCACAATTTGAACGACTCAAAAAGGTGGAATGACGACAAAAATAAGCCCAAATGGAGATTTGTAAGCTGGCAGCCGGCAAGAGTGGAATTGGAGACACAGTCGGAATTGAAGTTACCAGAGAGGAATGTGGTGGGAGTGGGGGGGGGGGGCGAATACAAATACAATTCTAGATCTTTCTGTTCCCCACCAACTTCTCTCTTCTCAGTTATCGGCTCTCCTAAACGTATTTTGTAAGCAGATTTGTTACAAAATCAAAGGGTAATCCTTTTGATACAATTAAATACAAATTTAATAGGTATACTTAATTTGAAAAAAAATATTTAAAAATTTGGAAATTATGACAGAAAAAGAATTTAATGACAGAATACTAAAGGTTGCATATAATAACGAACATTCCTCAAATCGCATTAATATTTAATATCAAATAGAAATTATCAGTCCATATTACTTTATCAGTGAAGCAAATTTAAAAGTAAACAACCACTAGATTTAAAAAAACATGTGGATGTTTACACCGCCTATAGGTTGTTTATGTTAGTAAATTTACTGTGAATCCCTAAATCACTGTGCTTTTAGAGAGAAAAAAATCATTCTTTTAGAACATAAATCTATTTGTTATTTGATATTATATTCCAAGTTTTATTTTCATCAAATCATTAAGAACAATAACGTATCAAATTGTCATGAATTATATATTATTAAAAATAAAATAAATTATGGCGGAATAAGACACTGAAATGAATTAAGGATTGTCTACGGTACATTTTTCAAATTAATTTAAACAAAAACTTTGTTCATCTTAATAGCTCTTGAGCTCTAATCCTATAAGATGGAAACTTCGCGGCAATCTAAGGAAATTCTTTAGTATAACGAAGATGACAGTATCCTTCGTATTTGCGTAAATGTAAATGTCAATAGACAGAAAAACTAGTACTAAAATGAAGTCATAAATCTAAATGTAATTGTATTATTGAAACACACCATGCAAGTGTCACTGTGCTAAAATGTGTTTATGAGCATCATGTGTTGTTGAGAGCAAAAAGTGACAGAATATTACCTTGCAGTAGTACAGTCCCTGTAGAGGATGTCGAAGTCCTTGCAAGAGAGGAGCTTGCACCGGTTGACTCCTGGCTGTATGGCACCCAGTCCGCGGAGTATCCTAACCTGCTCCACGTTGCAGACCAGCGGCACGATGTCCAATCTCTTCAGCTTGGTATAGACAGTGTGAAGGCCACCGACCAAGTGCTTCAGGAACAGCTCGAAGGCCTGTGGCAAGCAGAGCATCGTGTCACCGGCAATGATGAAGGCGGCGACCTTCTGGCCCCGGTAGTCGACCAATTTGCACTCGTTGGCAGTGGGATCAGAGGTGGATATCGGGGGCGGGCTGGAGTAGGACCTTGGAGGCGGGTGGTGGTGTGCCACGGCCATGAGGTCCAGCGGGGAATGCGGCATCATCCCGAGGATGCCAAGCCCCGGGGGCGGCAGAGGAAGGTGAGACCGCATCATGCCGCCTGCTTGGCTCACCGGGGGCGGCGGGCTGTGGTGCACCCGCGGCGACGACTCCTGCTTCACACCGACTGGCGATCCCTTGGGCGACGCCGAACGGTCACTTCCCGTCTCCATGTTGTTCTGTTCCATCCTGATCGGCTATTGCATAACGCACTCTCACTCGCGAACCTCACACGGCCGAGATCCGATCTGTAATAATAGCCTCGCCGGCAAGGGCCCGGTGGTGGGGGGAGAGAGTGGAGGGGCGGTGCCGGCTCCGCTCCTCATTGGCCTCCCACCCTTCCCCCGCCACACCCTCATTGGCTGATCCTCCCCACTCCTTCACTTCTTTTTACACCCCGACTCCTCCCACAAACCAATAATACAGAATAAAAGCAGTAGAAATATCATTAGCTGTGACGACGCATTTTTCAGATTTATCAGAGGGTAGCATAATGACGCCATATTTACATAATAACTGACCCCCTCCCCTGCCCCCCATCTAAATGGTAATAGCGACTACATAATTACATGGCCTTTCATATAAATCTACCATTGTGCTCACTGATCTCCGGGCTGATACACGGCTAGCTTTGTAATATATCCACTCAGCGGTTAGCGGCTCACAGCGGATTAAGAATCCTTTGAGCTGGGGCCCCCCCGGCCCTCTGTCCACAAATTCACGGTCTTGTGTCTCGACAAGAGTTGGGGTCTGCATCCAGTTCTTTTGTCATTACACTTAGGCAACATGAATATCAAACAAAAATAATTTCTAATATAGTGTGAAAGAAAAAAAAAATGTTTAAATGACTATACTCTTGTTTACCATAAGCTGAATTTCGAAGACGTAACTAGGGATTCGTTCGTAGATTTATTTTATATAATACAAAACAAGAATACCTACATTTTAAACTTTAGACTAGGTTCGACATTTCATTTGATGTAAAAACACAAAATATTTAATGGAGCTAGGAATAATTATTACTTAACAATAACAAAACCATGTTAAAAGAACGCACATCATTACAACAATAAGAAACACATTAAAAAATATCGAACCGTAATTTAGTAAAAAAGTAATAGATCAAATAGAAAAATGTTCATTGTCATTCTCGAATATGTAAATGGTGGATTGGTGAATTTAATTTAGTGTTTTTAAATGTTTAAAAGAAATGTAGATATTAAGAAAACTCAAGAAGAACGGTAATTAAGTGGGTAACTCACTGTGCTCTCATGCTCCAAATCCTAGATTCATGTCTTTAAAAGATAATTATTGTTATTAAACCATACTATCCACTCACCACTTAATCCTAAACACCATTTCCCCTTTACCCCAACCCTATTACTATAACAACATACCACATTTTCCCCCCGCCCCCCTCTCCCACCCCCCCTCCCACCCCACACCCCATTAACCTCTACTCACACCTTATACACACAAACACACACAAAAACACAAAAAAACACACATCACAAACACAAACCAACACACCCACCAACACCAACAATACACTACAAACACACATACCCTTCCTCCAACCAAAAAAAAAAACACATATTTTACTACATTTACCCATACTTCAACCCACACTTAACCTATCCCCCCAACACAAACCCCACTTATCACCTCCCCCACCCAAACATAATCCTAACATCTAACCCCCATCCAAAACCCCCCTCAACCCAACAAACCCACCACTAACCCAAACACACCCCCCACCCCTACACCAAAACAACTACCCACAAACACACAAAAACCAACAAAACAAACCACCCACCCCACTACATCACCCCCCCCTACCAAAATAACCAAACCCCAAACAAAACAACCCCAACCAAACAATAAAATACCACAAAATCATACAATTTCCAACAATACACAACATACAAACCAACACACACACTAACATACCCCACCAACCATAACAACCAACCAAAAACTAAAAAACAAATACCACATCCAAAATTCCCTATAACATCAACCAAAAACATACCCACACAATAAAACAAACCCCTTCCAAATACCCTCCACCCTAATCAACACACACACACAAACACACACACACACAAAAAAAAACATTAGGGTTTGAACGCCTACGTACGAATAAAATAAAATAAAAATAATATTAATTTGTCGTGAAATAAAAGATTATAATTAATTATAATTTGATATAATAAATAATTATAAGTTTAATAATATCACAGTTGTTGATGGTTTAATACATTATTAACTAAAGAATTTAACTTAAATGACAAACAATGGAAATGAAACAGAAATTTAAAAATAAATAAAAATCCTATATCTACAATGATGAACTAGGTAAAATTATAATAGTTCCTTATAATGATTCGGATATGAGTATGAATCGATTTATAATCGGTTGAGGGGGGACCGAGGCTTCCTTCCTGCCCTACACAGCCTCACCACTGGCAGCCTGACCCAGATTAATTTTAAGCAGTCAGTTCATAAAATAACATTAATATTTCATAGGGATTGTGGGCGCTTTCAAAGCATCCACTGGCTTTCAATAAAAGTGACAGTGGGATGGTACGTTGGGATGTTATTAAGTTCTACCCTTTTAAGTGTAAAACAGCTTATAGTTTGTTTAAACCAACATTGATCTAAAAGTGTTGTTTTGTTATTTTTTGCAACAAAAAATAAAATTGTTTGTAATATTTTTATTTTTGAAATTTACAACTGTATTAAAATAGAAATACATCTAGTAAATGCGAACTTGGAAATATAATGACATTAAAAGACTTGTTGAGAAACAATTCATTGAAAGCACTCTAATAAAATAAGCTTTGAAGGATTATAAAAGATAGAAGAGAAAGCAAGGTTAGAAACGAGAGGGTTTTGAAGTTTAATATGGAAGGATAGGTATCTGGTTTTAAATTGGAAACATATGGAACATTAAGATCGTTATGGATGATTTTATTTGCGATAAGATTTGTAAATTAAGAGTTCAATTAAGCCTCTTTAAAGTTGGTGAAGTCTCAAGAAAAAGTTATCGCACCAGTTCAAACCAAGAAATTTTACAAAACTAACAAATCGCGCGAAATTTCACATAATTAATAGATTTTAAATTTAACTATTAAAGAAAAACAGTAAAAAATGTATATCTTGCCAACTGAACACATTTTCACTAATTCCAAAAGGCATCGATAATACAGTTTATACATTCTTTGGAGAAAAAGAAAAAAATTTAGTCGATGTGAATTTTCCCTTTTTCGTCCCACTGCGTGCAAGGGGGCTTTTAACTCTGGTGTAATTCCCCGCTCTCTCCCCTGGACCGGTAAAATCCCGTATAGAATAATAGGCGAAACAGAGGAATAAAAATAATAATAAAAAACAATCTTTTTGTTTTTTTATTAAAATTATATTTTTAAAATAAATAGACTAATATATTTTATTTTAATAAAACCAACAATCATTGAAAAGAATCTATTCCACAAAAAAAAACATATAAACGGGCAATCGTTGAGGTTCTTGATTATAAATTTATGATCGAAACGTGGTGAAAATGTGGTGTAATAATGTTCTTCAATCGTCTCATTTATCTCTTAATGTCAGTCAAAAGTTTTAGAATTGATTGAAGCCGGGAAAAATTTTAATTTATATTTGAAATTTAGCTTAAATAGACATTCACCAGATTCATTATTAAACGGAAAATAAATGCTTCATACTTTATATAGCTTCATTATGTTATATTAATCCAAAATTAAAATTTATTTTAATTTTTTAAATTGTGAAAATGTTTTTATTTTACTGAGTTAATTACAAAATATGGTGTCACAGTAGACGAAATAGGAATATTGAAAACAATTTTGTTCAAACCATATGTATAAAAATAAATTAAATAGAATAATAGCAAAATAATAATATAAAAAATATTCATAACGTGATAAAAATACCTCAAAGTGATATAAAATACACTATCTTAAATACAGGAACACTTACGAAATAATTTACAATCAGCTAGAGAAATTCCAAACCATGCTTGTTCCCTCCAGGAAAAACTGTACTCCAGAAGAACTCAGAGCTTCCATATTGACCGCATAACTGCTACTAACCCCAATATTATTAAAAGTGATAAAAATCGTCATAATAATCCTTACACCATCTAACTCAATTTTTTCTCAAAGGACTTCGGCAGCTAATGCGATTAGTTTCTTTTCGACAAAAAAGACATTTTTTATTTATTTATTTGTTTTGTAAAACAGCGAAAATTGAGTCAGGTGTTGTTAAATAAGAAGTCTTGAGACTAGAAAAATACTTTACCACTTAAAACTATATTTTCATAAAATTTCGGCTAAGGCCATTTTTCAGTTGATTTAGGACCAGCCCCTAATATCGCATGTTAAATTCTAAATTAAATATATATATAAAATTTAATATGACTCATTAGGAACTGATTGATTCCTTTAATCAACAAAACAACTGAAGAGGGATTGGCAGCCGAAATCTCATCGAAAGCTTTAAGCAGTTAAGTCTTTTTCTAGTTCAAGAACTTCTGATATATTATGACCCTTCATCTCAGCCATAATTATACAAATATATGACCAAATTATCGTATATGACCAAAAAAGTTATTAAGTAGCTACTGGTTTATCAACCAACGCGATCTCTTTATTTTTTTAACTTTGCAAAGAAGAAAATCAAGAGAAAAAAAACAAAAAACCAAATTGGTAAGAGGCCGATGTGGCCGAGCGGGTTCAAAGGCAGCATTACGGCACGCTGGTCAGTGTCGGTTCAATTCTAGCCCGCGGGGGTTTTAGTTTTGTGTCGCACTGATGCTTTAAATCCCGACTTTCCTAGTCTTAACTAGAATAATTCGGTAATTTTGGAAATAACCTCCTATCAAGCAATACTGAAGTATTTATACATTTTTTTTAATGTTGTAATTTAATATAATAGTTTTATTTATATTTTTGGTTTTGTATATACTGATAAACCTAAAGTTTTGGATCGCTTCATTACATTTGCTTACCTTACATATCCATCTCGTTTATTTCCCAACTAATCAATGTTGAACAAGTTTCATGACAGGACAATTTATACAGTTATATAATAAAAACCAAGAGAACGACAAGCGATGGTACTGATACGATTGTTGAACCAATATGACTGACCTGCTTCAGTATTTACT